GTCACAAGTGCGTAGCCGCCCTTGGAGTTCCTTTCGCTCTAGACTGCGGGAGGGGGGATTTAGGCTCCGGTAACCTCACTCACTCAGTGAAAGGCAACGAAAGAATTGCTTAACACCGGTTTTCTGTGAGGCCATGGTATCACTCCGGTCGAGCCGGCCCATTCGTGCCGAAGCATGGCTCTTCCACGGTAAAAATCATTTGTTCCTTTTGACTGTTCATTTTTCCATCTTAGTTCCTTAAGTCTGCTTGTTAGTTATAGTCTAACCTTCTCTTACTTAAGTCGAAATAAATTAAAATCAGCCTAACTTAAGCAGGAGACCATGGAGCGACGTGTAAAAATACTGAAGTAGGAATGAAACAACAATAGTAAGATTATAGACACTTTAAATGCAATAGTACATTGAAAAACAATTGTTTTATGTATGAGCGCTGTTCCCTAAATGATATCGTTGTGTTGTACAGTTAGAGCATTGTTAGTACCGACAAAAATTCAATAAAAGCACTATTCTCAAAACGTTCTATATTTTACTTCTAATAAATTTACTGACATTTTGTTTTTACAGAACCTTTCCTTCTTATGCATCACATCACATCACCATCAACAGCTTTTAACAGTCCACTACTGGATATAAGCCTACGATATAAGCTTAGAAAGGTGGTTTTGGCCTACTATACCACGCTGGCCAGACGGGTTGGTATAGGGTTTGTTTGAAGTTTTCCTTCTCTCTACAGTGCTGGTATTCTGCGTAGTTTTTTCCCTTAGTCGGCTCTTACGACACCCACGGGATGAATAGTGGTGGTGACACTCCGTATTCTTAATCCGTTACCACACTGACCTTTCTTTTGCGCTTTAAGTCAATTTAACGTAGAATGCCTTTTAGTACTCATTGGACCGGTTTTATTCAGCACCAGAACTTAAATTAATGAAGAATAAAATTTTCAATTACTTAATGTAGATTAGGACACTACAAACTATTTGTTGACTAATTGTTCATAAACTGCTGGAACTGTGTATTTGAAAACGCATACTAACGCTTTTAATATATAGGAATTTCGTATAATATTTCTGTATTCGTAAAATGAAACGAATGAAAAAATAAATTCTCCCTCCAAACCCAACTTTGACAATGTAGAACACAGAAACTTCACAGAGCAAAATCTGTATGAATTCGAATCTTTTTTCTGTCATAGCAATTTGCAGTCAAATATTCTAATAGCTAGCTAAACTTTACAATATAAATCCAACAATAAGCTAATAAGCCTATTCAGAACTCTCATTTACACACACAACATAATACACACACATAAACTACATTTCCATAGTCATCCGGTGTAAGGAACCTATTGCTCGCACAAATCGAATTACACTGGTATTTTAGCTAAATCATGTTCAGCTAATATATTTCTGTTCACTTCCTGATTGCATTTTATAGTCCGTATTTTGATGAATGATATCAGTTAAATTCTATAGTGGTATATCGTGTTAATAGTATTTTTATTGCCAGCTGGGATCCAGTGGTACGTGACACGAACGGAATTAAATTATGCGGTTCTATCATCTATTGCAGAGGCTCCAAGGTATTTTAAGATGAAAGATCCAAAATTGTTTATTAGATATTTAAAATTACATTTCAGGGCGAAGTGGGAGAAGTACACGAAGTGGGCTGACCCCAATACCACGTGGGACGAATAGTCAGGAAGAGAGAGAGATTACAGTAAGAGAACCAGGTTTCGGCACATATAATATGGGTCGGCTGGCTATAATATTACTATAGACTCATCATCTCCAATCGCACTTGCGTCTTGAGTTGTATATACATCCACATCTACCTCTAAATTTATTATAAGTGGCATATATGCATCCTTGTTTGTTTCCCACCTTATCCAACGTTGTTGTACGCAACAGGCGAAATAATAACTGATATCTACCTAGGTCTAATACACCTCTCCTCCTGCAATAGGGCCTTACTATGCATGGCATGGTGGCAATTCGGGGAGGACCTGAAATAACATGGTCCGGATACTCCCAGAGTAAGGCACCTGAGGCTGGCGGTCGGTGTGGTTTTTAGTGAAGTCGCCACATACTCCTAGCTCCTAAGTTCCCAAGGAGCTGGAATTTACCGCGTCGTCAACAAAAAAAGTTCTAACACCTCTTTTGTTTATAAAGTGTTTTTTAGCTCCATTAATATACAATAAACTGCCTGATGTATACAATACAATTCAAAATAAACGATTTTAAGAAGAAACTAAAAAAAATGCTATCTGAAAAAAGTTTTTACAATGTTAATGATTACTATTTAAATGACACTCTCTAAATGTGCGTGTCTCTTTAAAAGCTTTTGTGGCACAAGTGTGTGGCAGAATGTGATTCCTGATTTGTATTTTTGAAGACCTTTTTACCATATTCATGTAAATAAATGTATTGATTTAATTTAAACAAACGTTAGATCTATACCACACGGTGTCCGTGTGGTGACGGATTAAGAATACGGAATGTCACCACCCCTATTCATCCCGTGGGTGTCGTAAGAGCCGACTAAGGGAGCAAACTACGCAAGACAACAGCACTGCAAGAAGAAGGTAAACTTGAAAAAAAACCCTATACCAACCCAACTGGCTAGCGTGGTATAGTAGGCCAAACCCTCCTTTCTAAGGAGAGGCCTATGTCCAGCAGTGGACTAGTAGAGGCTGTTGATCTGATGTGATGTGTAGATCTATAGCCAGGATTACCTTTCCGCAGAGGAAGGTGGCCACAACAGCACCTTTATCTAAATAGTTAAGTAGAGAATCTCAGTTATCTAGAGTATTTTAATTAAACACTCGCTATCAGACGGTTAACTTTATTAATTAGCTGAGCCGGTGACAATTCGGTGGAATGCCGAACTTTTGAACTGTTACAAATACTTTCGTTCACAATTTGTTTGGAGTTTTATCTGTTTTTTGTATTCAATGTGTGGGTTGTTTGATTAATAGGATTTGTTATTCAGTACAAATTGTGAGGTACCTCAAAGTTGCATGCGTGATTGTTGGTCATTAAAGTTTTGGACAAAACTAATTTTGATTGTTTTTTTCTATTTGAATGTTTGGAATCCTGCAGTTGGTTGCCTTGGAGTTTTCTGTTGCGACCGATTGTTAGATTTTTGTTTTAATTATCATTCTGTTATCCGGCACTTGTAACTTTACTTGTTATTCAATTATCTATAATAAATGAATATTAATTCTTAAGATATATAATTATTCATTCGACAATTAACGTAGGTGATCAAAAGGTATTACATAACTTTGAATTGCCTGAAGCTTTGACAGGTCGTGATCACTAATTGCTATTTAGGTAGTGCCAGATATTATGGTTGAAAACAACTGAAGTAATCTACTGTTGGTTCATCATTTAATATTATGAAGTTTTCCAAAACGATTTTAAACTACAAAATATGTTTATAGTACAATGCCAGTCCTAAACGTACAAACTATAATAACAGAAGATTAATGGAGTTTTGACCGCATGTGGAGTGTAGTGGAACTAACAAGTTATAACATAATACTAGCTGGTCCCCGCGACTTTGTTCGCGTGGAATTAGAAAAGCGCTGTCTTAGTGGGTTAGATTGGACAGGTTAACATTTTATTGGGTTTTCAGAGAGGCTAAATAGCCTAAGTTACCACTTATATAGACAGCTACCTGGTAGTAAAATATTTTCAAAAACAGTTCAGCGGTTTAGAAGATTACCCAAAACAAACAGATAGACAGACAGACAGACAAAAAAAAGCATATGCCTATTATTTTTAGCCATAGGTATCGTGCAAAGGTTATTTGCACGATACCTATGGCTTACCTATGGCTTTCGGTGAGCATGAAAATAATCTATTATTTTGACATTACGAACAGACATTTCAATTTTATTTATTTCTATAGAATAATAATAATAATATAATATAATATATTCTACCACATACACACAACGCCATCTAGTCCCAAACTAAGCAGAGCTTGTACTATGGGTACTAGACAACTGATATAAATACATATATACTTTTTTTTTGTAAATACATACATACATACATACATACATACATAATAGATAAATAAACTAAATTATATTCTTAATGCTTACAATGTGATGTTTTTCTACGGTTTATGATATTTTTGTGGTATAGGGGCAAATGAGGGAACGTGTAACCTGATGGTAAATGACCACCTTCGCCCATAGACCTCACCTCAGGTGACACTAGTGAATAGCCGCCCTTTGGATGCTCCTCTCAGAACTAAGAGAGGGGCGTAGGTAAGGAGTTTTGCTTCCGTTAACTTAATCGGTGAAAAGCAACGATAGAAATGCACACACAAACACTTAATCTGGATACGTACTTTTAAAGAGAATAGTAGCAATGTGGGCACTACTAGTATTTGTGAACCTGAGCTTAACTGCTTGTTTCAAGGATGGGTCCGACGTTTTTTTTTAAAAGACAACTTCCTCATTAGGAATATATCCCGTGTCGCGGGGTACTTTACAAATATACATGAAGCGAACACAAAGAACACCCACACTCAGAACAACAATTTGTGGCTTTACATAGGCCTCTCCTAAAATCTCTCTCTTTTTCTTTTTAATCTTGATAAATTATAATAATGTGTTTTTATCCATTTATTTTCGATTTTTTAAGAGGGAGAAGGTGACATTTTCTTCAAATTAATACTGGAACTTAAATTTTGAGTTCACGAAATTTAACTATTTTAATTTATAAATAGTTGAATTGTTTCACAAAAGCCGAAGATTTTGCGTAACATATAAAATAAAGAATTAGTCGAACAGAAAATTATACAACTGAAGCAGTATTGTAAACCCATCTTTAGGTAGGATCTGGGTTTGGGAGGATTTGAATGGACACGCCATCGGGAATACAAGTCGAGAGTTTTTAGCATTGGGACCGTCTTCTCTTATGATCGGGTACAGATGCTTATTTAGTCTAGAATAATAAAAGAACAGAAGAATTATGCTACAAGATTTATTCAAGGTCTCTTTTCCTTTGGGTTCTTAGGTGTATTTTTTTATGATCACTTTTTAACAATTTCTTCAAGTATTTGATCACTTCATTTACGGAGATTCTCCATGCAACATGTATCAGCCCTAGAAGAGTGAGGATACTGCAGCCGAAGAACACGTTGAATATACCGCCCAGTTGAGCTGAATAAAATAAATTGATTCTTATTCAGTAAATCTTTTAAGAATGCAATTTAAATAGAGAGAGAGAGAGAAGAAGAAGAATGAAAAGAAAATATTAAAAAATATATAATGGCGATTTAAATACTCTAACAAATATTAAGTACTGAAGTGTACAGATAGATATAAGGTTTGTCAACTATGTTTTCAACATCGTCATCAACAGCCTTTACTAGTCCACTGCTGGACGTAGGAGGTTTGGCCTTAGAAAGAAGGTTTGGCCTACTATACCACGCTGGCCAGACGGGTTGGTATAGGGTTTGTTTCAAGTTTTCCTTCTCTTTGCAGTGCCGTTGTCCTGCGTAGTTTCCTCCCTTAGTCGGCTCTTACGACACCCGACGATGAATAGGGGTGGTGACACTATGTATTCTTAATCCGTCACAACACGGATATGAAACCATTTCTTAGTACCACTTATATTATAGGGTCTAAACCATTTTTTATGGAATGGAGTCCCCTCCCCCAAAACAAGAGAAGGGGGAGGTTGGGCTCCGCTAACCTCATCCTTACCTTGAAAAGCAACGAATAAATACTTACCAGACAGATCCAAGTAAGTGAAGAAAGAAAAACGTTGAAAGGTTTTGTGCAGCCCCGCTTGTATAAATATTCTAACAATAGTCACTCTATTGAAGTCTAATCCTGAGCTGAAATCATAAGGAAATTGCTAAGTATTTTACTTATAATCTGAATTCGGTGTTCACGGTTTAAGTGGTCGCCACGCCGCTTCCTACTACGCTGAGTGTTGTAGGTTCGTACCTAACATGGGACGACACTTTGTATGATCCACAATCCTTAAAAAGCCTATTAGTGAAAAAGAACAGTTGTATTATCTAAATGTGTGTTAAATATGTGCTTACTCGTATATATATGTATATATATATACTTGTATAAATATACATATAAAACTATAAAGAGATAATGTTTATCTCTACATTTTTATGAGAAATTGTATAAAAAGATGTGACTTAGATGTAATAATAATAAGTATTTTAACAATAATAATAAGTATTTTTTTATTTCTCTCACACAGAATGACATATCTTGACATATTAAAGTAGATACACAGTTATAGGTGAGTTGAATCTGTGTGAGAGACTGGTATCTGCACTAGGTACACCTGCATTACAGATTACAAGCCTCTCCTGACACTAGATGCGTAAGTGTTATCCTCTAGGTACAACTTGATTAGGTGAGAGCTAAAGCAAAGTGAAGTGAAGGAAAAATGTGTGTGTGTGTGTGTGTGATCCGTGTGAGTATGGTGTGTGTGTGTGTGTGTGTGAGTGTGTGTGTGATGAGTGTGAGGAAGGTTGTGTGTGTGTGGATAGAGGTAATAACCCTACAACGATGAAGATGTAGGTGATCGGATGTGCGTGATTGAACGTGATTTATAAAGGAAATACATGGCACTAATATGTGTAGATACGACTATACTTATACAAAAATAGATCTTAGATAATTGCCAATTGCGGGACATATAACAGGTTTTCCGTTTCCTCATAACTGAGTGTTTTCAGCCAGTCAGAAATAGCCCTTTTGCAGCGATATTTCGAAAGGCAATAGATGTCTAAAATTGCATTTACCCTGTTATATACCCGCAAATGAAACCAAAAAATTTACCAGAGAAAGCGACAATCACTTTTTTGGACTACTTTATGTTTTAGCCGTTTATTAGTAAGTGATGGGTCGTAGGGTAGCATTGAATGCTGTCTTATGATTATGCTTGGAAAGTACAGTTGGCGCACCGTCAGGACGTTGGTAAGATTGTATAGGTCCCTTTTTGGGTGTAATAAACTCGCTGGGAAGTAGAAATAGAATTCACGTGATCAATATTATCCATAGAACAATAATTTGTCTTTAATCTACTGTAGAATATTGCTGGGTACTTAAAGAAGTCTTTATTTAGTGCGAGTCACGCACTGAGAGGAGCCAATGAAATTTTGTTCGTTCTAGAGACCTCGGGTCAACTTCGTCGAGGCCTGTATACCCATATCCGGTATGAGAACACGGGCACTTCTTCTATATCTTTGCGATTTTCAAACCGATTTTAATATTTTTTTTAATGGAGCTGCTTCCACTGAAGGTTAGTCTCATTTAAAGTTTAAGGAAACCTTCCTTTTAAGGTGGTAAATTAAAGGAAACAACCTTCAAGAAAAGAGCGTACTCCTTCCTAAAAGGCCGGCAACGCGTTTGTGACTCCTGAGTTGCAGACGTTCATGGGCGGCGATAGTCACTTTCCATCAGGTGACCCGTCTGCTCGTCTGCCCCCTCCCGAGCTTATTACAATTTATTATTATTTACATATATTAAAGCCAGCGATAATATATTTTAATTAAAAACGTGTCTATTAAAATAGTTTACGAAATAAGATAAATCATTCTTACTAAAAGGGGTCGAGAGGGACTACAGAAGGATCCAGTGTGAAGCTTGTTGCTCTAACGCTGTCAATGTCAACCTCACACGTTGACAGACAATGACAGCTGTTGCCGTAGGCCACTGGAACACAGAAATCTTTTTTTTTTACCATATTCACACAACGCCATCTAGTTCCAAACTAAGCAGAGCTTGTACTATTGGTACTAGACAACTGATATAAATACATATATACTCTTTTTTCGTAGATACATACATATTATACATAGAAACACTCAGACCAAATCAAACATTAAAAGTTCATGCACACAAATTCCCGCTCAAGTCAAGTGAGAGGGAATCGAACCCGCGACCTTAAGAATAGCAGTCCGTAACACAAACCACTATGCCATCCAGTCGTCAAAATCTATTTAAAATGGTATTAATACGTAAAGAAATTCTTTTTACCTCTTCTTAATAAATGATAAAATGAAGTCTGTTTGTAATGTCAAAATAATGGGTTTTTTCATGTTGCGGTTTTATGCCTAAAAACCTGACGTGGTGATCACTATTATATTAATTTCATTAACTTCATAGATAAATATTATTAATAGTTACCCATGGCATGATTAGTACACATCAGATTCCTTGCTCTACAGTACCGTACTCCTCGTGGTTTCGGATGAACCCTGCGTACGCAGTTACAGAGGTTTATGGTTTTTGCTATTTCACATTCTAGAATGCAATATCTTCTGAAAAATAAAAAGCGTTTTACAGGTTTTTAGACTTCAAACCTAATTTTAAGCAATACTAACACATCATCATCATCATCATCAACAGCCTCTGATAGTCCACTGCTGAACATAGGCCGTTCCTTAGAAAGGAGGTTTTGGCCTACTATACCACGCTGGCCTGACGGGTTGGTATAGGGTTTGTGTCAAGTTGTCCTTCTCTTTGCAGTGCTGTTCTCCTGCGTAGTTTGCCCTTAGTCGGTTCTTACGACACCCATGGGATGAATAGGGGTGGTGACATTCCGTATTCTTGATCTGTCACCACATGTCATACCTATACTCTCAGATTCATAGGAGAAGCATGCTGCGGTATAAATGGTCGGGCTTGACCGAAGTATTACCACGTCCTCATAGAAAACCGCTGTTCAGCAATTTTTCTTGGTTTTTCACCTAGAGAGTGCAGTTACGGGAAGCCCAAATACCTAATTCTTTTCTTTTTTTTCTCTTTTTCAGAAGACAACACCCTCACTAGGAATAAAATCCTCCATCGCAGGGGACTTTATAAAAATACATGAAACGATATAAAGAACACCCAGACTCAGAACAACAATTTGTGGATCACATAAAGTGTTGTCCCATGTGGGGATCGAACCACGGACACGGACACAATTCTAAGATTGTGGGACATTGGAAGAGACATGGAAAAATTGAAGTCGGTAATATTAAAAAAAAGGCAAAATGTGGCCTTATGCTTACTTCCTGTAGTAGGGAAAATATTTCAGGGGTTGGTCACCCATACGGCAGTTTCTGAGGGTAGTTCCGAGATCTTTAGCTCTATCATTTATGTAGTAACGATCCTCCTGGTATATGATCCACTGCTCGTAACCAGGATTAAGAGCTGTGCCGTTGAGAGTTGTATCAACATAGCGCTGGCCTACTTGAACCACAATCTAGAAAATAGTATTTTCACTATGCATGTTCCAGCTAAGGATCAAGATAATAATAATAACTGCACACATCTCATACACGGCAGTCTGATCACAAACTAGGCAGAGCTTGTGCTATGGTAACCAGATTGCTGATAAACATAATTCAATATTTCTAAATACATACATCATCAACAGCCCTTAACAGTCGACTGCTGGACATAGGCCTCTCCTTACAATGGATTTTTTGGCTTACTATACCACGCTGGTCAGACGGGTTGGTATAGGGTTTGTTTCAAGTTTTCCTTCTCTTTGCAATGCTGTTGTTTTGTACAGTTCGCTCCCTTAGTCGGCTCTTACGACACCCACAGGATGAATAGGGGTGGTGAAACTCTGTATTTTTAATCCGTTACCACACGGAAAAACACCAAATACATACATATTATAGATAACTTACACCCAGTCATCTATGTCTGGGTGTAATTTATCTAAAAATTAAATGCTATTATTGCTATTCTCATCTGAATTTATCAATCTAAGCAAACATCTAGTGTCCTAATATGAAAACAACAATATTACAATGTTACAATATCCAAGAAGTATTGCAAAGCAAGAATCTTTTGATTGTGTGATAACTAAACTCCACGACACACGTCTTATTCGCGGTATTATTATAGGTAAAGTTAAGCATAATATGCTTAACTTTACCCTTTATTTTAGGGGATTTTCGTATTTCAGCCTTGTCTTGATTAAGTTGATATTACTTATTTACATTCTCACTGGTTGTTTAATATTTGTACGCATTGTCTTCTACTGAAGCGGAAGAGCCCTGGTGTCTCACGTTAGTTTCGGGTACTGTGTTGTATACTTGTACCATTTCCTAGATATTGTAACTTAACTAATCGTCAAGAAAAATGAAAAAATAAAAACTAAATAAATGTACATTTACAAAGTTTACCGCGACACAGGATATATTCGTAGTAAGGGAGTTTTTTTTTAGTGAGACAAATCCCGCATTAGGAATATATCCTGTATCGTGGGGGACTTTACAAACATACATATCCATAGACACAAAGAATATCCAGACTTAGAACAACAATTTGTGGATCACACAAAGTGTCGTTCTATGTGGGGATCCGACCCAAAACACTACCATTTTTTTTCGTGATTTGGACAATTTACTACGTCATAAAAAAATCTTCAAAGGAGGCAACACAAAATGCTTTTCCACATTCTATTTTAGAGGCATAAATTAACTTCCATTTAGATTACAGCAATATATAGATAACGAAGGTAATATAGATAATGAATTGATTAAATAAATATGTTACATCTTAGAAAAAAATGTGTTTTCGGTACAAATCGGCAATTTCATACTTGAACCCCAAATGTTTGTGTGCATTCCAAATTAATTAGCCACATTATCATGCCACTTTTTCATTACTTCTCTTCTTTTCAGAAGGCTCTCCGTCTTTTAAGTCTGTCGAGCCCAGAAGAGAACCTTGCAAGAAAAAACAGTTTATTTCACCTATTCTTACCCATTTATAAGAGAGATCAATGCTGTTAAGTTTTTGACTCTGATCAATAGCTAACACCAAACCACTGCTGATTCCAGACCTTGGTGTATTCCACTGGTTATTTTCGATTTCCGATTTCTTCACCTTGGCGTGTTCTCTCATTTCCCTGTATAAAAATTTAAGTTTAGCTCAATAATTTATTTCCCAGTAAACATTGTGTTTACAATACCATATTCAAAGAATGAAGAAATTTGTGGACTATTTGAATACGAGCCAGCTTTCTGGATACGCTTTTGAATGGCGCACAAAACACATTGAATGACAATTACATTGACTGTCACTAGTTCTAAATAATATTAATAAACTAAATAATAAATAAAACACTCAATTAAATTTATTTAGCAATTATAAGGAAAAACTATTTATTTTTTTATACTGAAAAAAAAAGGTCATGTACCTCATTAGCAATAGACTAGACTACAAAGATTATGAAATGACGTATAAAAATGAATCTTTTTCTTAATTACATAATAATAAATTAAATTGACATTAGGAGTTGCGTATTCACAATTCCTTATAGATTTTCAGTTGATAATATCTCATACCTGCTCAAAGATCTCCCGTTAAAAACGCAAGTATAACCATCTCCAGCAAGCTCCATTGTAAAAATTTCTGAGCAGTTATAAAGTATTTGGTTATACCGACACCTAAAAGTTATAACCACTGAATGAATAAGAGACTTTAGAATAAACAAGATTAGAAGAATAAGAAGAATATAATTTAGAACAGAATCATAGAGGAGAAACAGAAGAAGATATACAAAGGTTTCGAAACGATAATTTTACATAAATAGTTTCTCAAGTAGTTCAACAATTCACTTCTAATTATAGTCTATCAAAGGATGCCTTGATTTATCTGATTAAGTGTACCTTAATACGATTTCCTCACAGCCAAAGATCAATTTTTTAGCAGCAGTCTCAACGTCTAAATCATTATGCTTTAATAATTCTTCTATATTTTCTAGATCACGCAAATTATAAATCACATCAGGAGACCAAAAAGCTGCCAACTGGTCTATTATAGCTCTGATGTAAGTTTTATTTAGACCACCTGGATAAGTTCTAAAGAAAAAAATTAAAGCATTAGTATTTTTTAAATCTCGCTTGTCTGAGATATATGGATTTTTAAAACAAAAAACGCCAAAGTTAAGTTTTTGATTGTTCGAAGTGCTAACGTTGAAGGAAATAGTCATTTTCTGCCTTTTTATTTCTCAAGATTGTCCGTCCGAATCTCATTGATTCTTCGTGTCCTAGTCCATGACCAAGCCCAACAGATGTTGTTGGTATTTTTACCTGCGTCCAGGGAGATTTTTTTTTTGTATAGCGATAGTTTTATTTTAAGAACCTTAATATAATAAATCTTAAACCAAAAATTGCATTCATACAAGCGTTAATTTTCAATGAATATTCTATGCGTCGAATCGACTTCTTAAGTAAACATAATATATTATCTTACATGCTTGAAATAAACTGCTCCTTCTTAGATTCATGAAACGCGAGCTCTGGGTAGACAAGGACACAAGGAAAGTTCATTAACTGATTATTCGATTCCTTATATGCCATGAACGTGGGGTTACTTCGGAAGCGACTCACTGCAAGGTGGATGAGGGCAATGGCACTGACAAGGAGGAGCAGCAGTAAAGGTACCCAGTACCAGCTAGAATTTAAGGTTTAAGCATTAGCAAAACACTTTAAATGTTACTATTAATATTTTTCACCTTACCTAAAGATTAAAGGTTTGACTTATCAAACTAATTGGGGCTTAGGCCTCCGGTAACCTCACTCACTCGGTGAAAAGCAACTAAAGTATTGCTTAAAATTGTTTCCTTTGCCTTAGCTTTTGTATCACTCATTGAGTCTGGTCATCAATCATCATCAAAAGCCTTTTATAGTCCACTGCTAGACATAGGTCTCTCCTAAGAAATTAGATTTTGGCCTACTATACTCGCTGGCCAAACGGGTTGGTATAGGGTTTGTTTCAAGTTTTAATTCTTTTTGCAGTGCTTTTGTCCTGCAAAGCTTGCCCTGAGTTGGTTCTTACGACATCCACGAGATGAATAGGGGTGGTGACACTCTGTATTCTGAATCCGCCATCACACGGACGTCGAGCGAGTTCATCGAGTCTGGTTCGTATTCGTTCCAAAACATGGCTATCCCATGGTTCTACACTTGGTAACCTATTGAACTTAATTACTATTGCTATTATGACGACTTATCCTGTTATTAGAATACTAAATAATTTTAGTACTATACTTGTTTTATACCTGGACTCTCCGCTCGCTAATATCTTTGCACCATGAAATTGAATGTGACTGAATTCCTTCTGTGCCTTTTTCTTCCATGAAATTTTCTTAGCCTTTTCTGTTTTTGTTGGTTTCATTTTTGTGTTCCAGTAAAAGTGAGATACCCGTGCCATTTGTTACTTCTGCTTCTTCTTCTTACTTCACAATTCTTAATTCGAATGTAGAATCTCTTGATAAATTTAAAATTATTCACCAATTAATACAAGTGCTAATCAACGCAACTGATTAACGACTGCCTCCCAAAAGGTCATGAATGTTCATCACCATAGCACAGCGCTTAATACTAAACCAAATTAATTTTATTTTTCAGTTGCTAATCATCAATCATATTGATATAGAACAGTGATCGTATCTGTGTTGTTAATATTTTTTTTATGGTATGTTGTGATTTGTGGTATGAAGTGACACAGTGTAATGAATTTAAATACTCATTAATGATATTTGGTAAGTTCATTACCTGTTGGTTCGGGATCCTCACTGCTAAGCTAGAGGTCGTGGGTTTGATTCTCACCCAAGACAACATATTGTGTAATGAGAAAATCTACTACTAATACTACTAAAAATATTCTGGGTCTGGGTGTAATTTATCTGCAAGATTATATTTTTAGTATTCGTAGGCCAAAACCCCTCTTCTAAGGAGAGGCTATGTCCAGCAGTGGTACTATTGAAGGCTGTTGATGGTGATAATGATTGATGATAAACAGTTGAAGGCAAAAGGCTTGCTCCCTATTACGTAAGCGGGACTAAAAACTTTGGATGGGAAATTGTTGACTTTTAATACGCCCCTGTCGTAACAATGTTTGGGAAAAAAGACGTGAATATATGCATATCGTAAGTAGGGAATTCTACTATCAGCTATACAAAACTGCAACACTTGCAACTCAAAAGTCACAAGTGCGTAGCCGCATTTGGAGTCCCTCCCACTCAAGACACCTCCGGTAACCTCACTCACTCAGTGAAAGGCAAGAAAAGAATTGCTTAACACCGGTTTTCTGTGAGGCCGTGGTATCACTCTGATCGAGCCGGCCCATTCGAGCCGAAGCATGGCTCTCCCACGGTAAAAATCATTTGTTCCTTTCGACTGTTCATTTTTCCATCTTAGTTCCTTAAGTCTGCTTGTTAGGTATTGTCTAACCTTCTATTACTTAAGGCTAAATAAATTAAAACCAGCCCAACTGAAGCGACCATGGAGCGACGTGTAAAAACACTGTAGGAAAGAAACCACAATAGTAAGATTATAGAACTAGGTAAGGAGTTTTGCTTCCGTTAACTCAATCGGTGAAAAGCAACGATAGAAATGCACCCACAAACACTTAATCTGGATACTTACTTTTAAAGAGAATAGTAGCAATGTGGGTCATACACTACTAGTATTTGTGAACCTGAGCTTAACTGCTTGTTTCAAGGATGGGTCCGACGTTTTTTTTTTAAAAGACAACTTCCTCATTAGGAATATATCCCGTGTAGCGGGGTACTTTACAAACATACATGAAGCGAACACAAAGAAGGCCCACACTCAGAACAACAATTTGTGGCTCATACAAAGTGTCGTCCTATGTGTGGATCGGACCCACAACACTCGGCGCAGTGGTAAGCGGCGTGGCGACCGCTCAAACCACTACTCCATCCGTGCAGTCGGTCGTATAGTGGGTGGCGTTTAAACTAACAACCACTTTATTGAAAATCCAATGCCTTAGGCATGAATCTACCATTCATATTTATCGAGTTTAAGTTTCTTTTGAATGATAATGTAAACTGAAAAATATTTTCTTTTTACATTTAGAAAGGTATTACCATTTTTACGAGTACATACATACATCAACACCCTTCTATAGTCCTTTGCTTTACAAAGGCCTCTCCTAAAATCTCTTTCTTTTTCTTTTTAATGCGGCCTAATCTTGATTAATTATAATAATGGGTTTTTATACATTTATTTTCGATTTTTTAAAAGGGAGAAGGTGAAATTTTCTTTAAATTAATACTGGAACTTAAATTTTGAGTTCATGAAATTTAACTATTTTAATTTATAAAATAGTTGAATTGTTTCACAAAAGCCGAAGATTTTGCGTAACGTATCAAATAAAGAATTATACAACTGAAGCAGTATTGTAAACCCATCTTTAGGTAGGATCTGAGTTTGGGAGGATTTGAATGGACACGCCCATGGGAATGCAAGTCGAGAGTTTTTAGCATTGGGACCGTCTTCTCTTATGATCGGGTACAGATGCTTATTTAGTCTAGAATAATAAAAGAACAGAAGAATTATGCTACAAGATTTATTTAAGGTCTCTTTTCCTTTGGGTTCTTAGGTGTATTTTTTTTATGATCACTTTTTAACAATTTCTTCAAGTATTTGATCAATTCATTTACGGAGATTCTCCATGCAACATGTATCAGCCCTAGAAGAGTGAAGATACTGCAGCCGAAGAACACGTTGAATATACCGCCCAGTTGAGCTGAATAAAATAAATTGATTCTTATTCAGTAAATCTCTTAAGAATGCAATTTAAATAGAGAGAGAGAGAAGAAGAAGAATGAAAAGAAAATATAAAAAAATATATAATAGCGATTTAAATACTCTAACAAATATTCAGTACTGAAGTGTACAGATAGATATCAACTATGTTTTCAACAGTTTGTCAGTTGTTCAGTTTGTCAACTATGTTTTCAACATCGTCATCAACAGCCTTTACTAGTCCACTGCTGGACGTAGGAGGTTTGGCCTTAGAAATGAGGTTTTGGCCTACTATACCACGCTGGCCAGACGGGTTGGTATAGGGTTTGTTTCAAGTTTTCCTTCTCTTTGTAGTGCTGTTGTCCTGTGTAGTTTCCTCCCTTAGTCGAGTCTTACGACACCCGACGATGAATATGGGTCGTGACACTATGTATTCTTAATACGTCACCACACGGATATGAAACCATTACTTAGTACCACTTATATTATAGGGTCTCAACCATTTTTTATGGAATGGAGTCCCCTCCCCCAAAATCAAGAGAAGGGGGAGGTTGGGCTCCGGTAACCTCATCCTTGCCTTGAAAAGCAACGAATAAATACTTACCAGACAGATCCAAGTAAGTGAAGAAAGAAAAACGTTGAAAGGTTTTGTGCAGCCCCGCTTGTATAAATATTCTAACAATAGTCACTCTATTGAAGTCTAATCCTGAGCTGAAATCATAAGGAAATTACTATGTAAGTGTTTTGCTAATAATCTGAACTTGCAGTGGCGTAGGGGTTTAAGCGGTCGCCACTCCGATTCTTACTACGCTGAGTGTTGTGGGTTCGAACCTAACATGGGCCGACACTTTGTGTGATCCACGATCATGAAAGAGCCTATTGGTGAACAAGAACATAAAGAAGAAGAAGAACTATAAAGAGTTAATGTTTATCTCTACATCTCTATGAGAAATTGTATAAAAAGATGTGACTTAGATGTAATAAACTCGCTGGGAAGTAGAAATAGAAATCACCTGATCAATATTATCCAAAGAACAATAATTTGTCTTTAATCTACTGTAGAATATTGCTGGGTACTTAAAGAAGTCTTTATTTAGTGCGAGTCACACACTGAGAGGAGCCAATGAAATTTTGTTCGTTCTAGAGACCTCGGGTCAACTTCGTCGAGGCCTGTATACCCATATCCGGTATGAGAACACGGGTGCTTCTTCTATATCTTTGCGATTTTCAAACCGATTTTAATATTTTTTTAATGGAGCTGCTTCCACTGAAGGTTAGTCTCATTTAAAGTTTGAAGAAACCTTCCTTTTAAGGTGGTAAATTAAAGGAAACAACCTTCAAGAAAAGAGCGTACTCCTTCCTAAAAGGCCGGCAACGCGTTTGTGACTCCTGAGTTGCAGACGTTCATGGGCGGCGACCCGTCTGCTCGTCTGCCCCCTCCCAAGCTTATTACAATTTATTATCATTTATATATATTAAAGACAGCGATACTATTTTTTTAATTAAAAACGTGTCTTTTTAAGTAGTTTACGAAATACGATAAATCATTCTTACTAAAAGGGGTCGAGAGGGACTACAGAAGGATCCAGTGTGAAGCTTGTTGCTCTAACGCTGTCAATGTCAACCTCACACGTTGACAGACAATGACAGCTGTTGCCGTAGGCCACTGGAACACAAAAATCGTTTCTTTTTTACCATATTCACACAACGCCATCTAGTCCCAAACTAAGCAGAGCTAGTACTATTGGTACTAGACAACTGATATAAATACATATATACTCTTTTTTCGTAGATACATACATATTATACATAGAAACACTCAGACCAAATCAAACATTAAAAGTTCATGAACACAAATTCCCGCTCAAGTCAATTGAGAGGGAATCGAACCAGCGACCTTAAGAATAGCAGTCCGTAACACAAACCACTATGCCATCCGGTCGTCAAAATCTATTTTAAATGGTATTAATACTCGTACGTAAAGAAATTCTTTTTACCTCTTCTTAATAAATGAATAAAATGAAGTCTGTTTGTAATGTCAAAATAATGGGTTTTTTAATTTTGCGGTTTTATGCCTAAAAACCTGACGTGGTGATCACTATTATATTAATTATATTAACTTTATAGATAAATATTATTAATAGTTACCCATGGCATGATTAGTACACATCAGATCCCTTGCTCTACAGTACCGTACTCCTCGTGGTTTCGGATGAACCCTGCGTACGCAGTTACAGAGGTTTATGGTTTTTGCTATCTCACATTCTAGAATGCAATATCTTCTGAAAAATAAAAAGCGTTTTACAGGTTTTTAGACTTCAAACCTAAATTTAAGCAATACTAACACATCATCATCATCATCATCAACAGCCTATGATAGTCCACTGCTGAACATAGGCCGTTCCTTAGAAAGGAGGTTTTATCCTACTATACCACGCTGGCCTGACGGGTTGGTATAGGGTTTGTGTCAAGTTTTCCTTCTCTTTGCAGTGCTGTTCTCCTGCGTAGTTTGCCCTTAGTCGGTTCTTACGACACCCACGGGATGAATAGGGGTGGTGACATTCCGTATTCTTAATCCGTCACCACATATCATACCTATACCATCAGATTCATAGGAGAAGC